AAAAAAAAAAAAAAAAAAACTACCTGCCCGGTACTACATGTCCTGGATGTCGGGCAATAGGAATCCAACATCCCTGATACCTGCATAGCTGCATGCTTGCTTGCTTACCTGAATGATTGCATAGCTGTAGATCATCATGGCTATGGACCTGTATCCCTGCGGGACTGCATAGGTGGATGGCAATATGGGTGCTACTTTTTTTCTACTTAAAGAGCCCCCAGTCTTTTCAAACCTGGGCTTCAATAGCCAAGTCTTCAATCCTAGGTATCAAAAATCAGGGTACATTATTGGACCCAAGAAAATAGGTTTCTGGGCAGACCAGAAGGTTCTCAGGAGTTTCCCCTGCACTATACACTGTTGATAGCCCTCCTCGGCTAGGCCTGGCTACCACTATTTGTTTTGGTTTTTGTGCTTTTGGAGGGGATTAGGGGCTAGCCTTCTACCCACTGATTATGGCTTGTGGAGGAGACTGGGGATTTTGTCTGCTTTTCCCAGTCAGAGCTCAGTTCAGACTCTGATCACATGGAGAGCAAGTCAGTCTGTGATGATGGACAACATGATGAATGCTGAAAGCGAGGCTTGGATTAATTCTCTGAATAAAGTCAATACAGCTTCCCTTCTGGAGTGGATGGAAATGTGTAATATTAACATTTGTACAGGTTAATGGTCAGAGGAAATATGGGGCCCTCCTGCAGACTGGGTTGGAGTAGCTCCTCCACTTGGGACAGAATATTTATCAACAATCTCCCTCAAGAAATGTATGAAGTTAAATGAATTCCACTTTTTCAGACTGTTGGAATATTGTATGAGTTTGGTCTCATGATGGACAGATTGCACAGGTGGGGGCCAGTCACCTGAAGACAGCAGACAAGGGCGCACTCTCATCGTGCATTACCGTGGTACACCATGTATTGTGTAAAACAATATAGATATATACTCACAAACAAAAAGGAAATAAAAGTAGGATAAGTGGTCCTCAGTAGCAGTCAATGTAATACTGTGCCCTTAATAGGGATAAACTGACACGTTTCGGGAGACGAACCCCCTTCCTCAGAGCTACCAGTGTCCAGATTTCCCGATCTTTGAAGGACAGCACCTCTTCGTTTTGGCATTCCGAATATCCTTTGGTCTGCATGAGGACTTGAGCTCTGGTTTCATTTTGTTTGTCACCTGAAGACAGCATGTGTAATGTACTTTGTGTATTCAGGGTTGGAGGTGCCATACTGTCCAAGATGGGCTCCCTGGCTGGCTATCCACCAGCAGGTGTCAATGGCTCAGGTTTGCAAGGTCGAAACATGGTCTTCGGTTTGTACATTCACATGGCTTTACTAGGTGGATGTCAGAGCCACGGAAGATTCTGCCTTTGGCCGCAGCTTGACACGTATGGCTGAGTAGGACCTTTGGGATTGTGGATGGTGGTTATTATGGTGTCGCCCACTCCTAAGATTTTTTTTTTTGTTATTGCTTTACGACATCCCACATAGTCATGAGTAGCTTGCTCTGTGTCCCATTATGTATGATAAAGAAAATTGGATTATTTCTACTTGCTTACTTGTACATTTCTTGTAGTACATCATGGAACACAGAGGTCCCACCACTCTTTCTGGTATTTCATTGCTTGCTACAAAAATTGAAGTACTTCTGGTGTAGGAGGGGTTATATAGGGGAGGGCTTCCTGTTTGATTGATCTGCCATGTCCATTCGCCTATAGGTGGCATATAACCAACATAGACTGGGACACTGTGATGGTGCTGACTGTTCAAAAGCCGTCTAGCCCGTACTGTCATGCTTGCACGGAGAGAAGATAAATCCGCGTGGATTTTAAATCCCCAGACCTGTGAAGTGGCTTTTCCTTGTGTGACAGCATGGGATTGGTGCAGGGAAGTTTCCCGCATCGCTCCTGTGTGAACTCCGTGATAAGCCTGGGTTCACACAGGAGCAGTGGGGAAAACACGTGATTTGGACAGGAATGCTGGCTAGACAAAGTCAATGTTTTTATTGATATGTAAACAAACATGTAAATTACAATTTTTATGAAACTACAATAGTATAAACCCAAATATACTGTTAAAGAGTACCCTTACAGTAAATCTTTGAGTTATATACAGACTGTAAACTACTGCATAGCCTGGCCTACGTGAGCAAATAGTTTTTGATCAGGCTTGATGTCTCTTTTAACCACTTGCCTGAGGATTCCCCCCCCCCCTCCTCCTCCTGACCAGGCCATTTTTTGCGTTACGGCGCTACATCACGTTAACTGACAATTGCACGGTCATGCAACGCTGCACCCAAATGAAGTTTATGTCCTTTTTCCCCACAAATTTAGCTTTCATTCAGTGGTATTTTATTGCCTGTGCTTTTTTTATTTTTTGTGCTATAAAAAAAAAAAAATTCTGACAATTTTGAGAAAAAAAAAAAACAATATTTTCGACATTTTGCTATTAAACATGTCCAGTAAAAAAGTATAAAATCAAATTTCGTCGTAAATTTAGGCCAAAATGTATTCTTCTACAGGTCTTTGCTAAAAAAAAATCCCAATACATGTGAATTAGTTGGTTTACATGAATGTTCTAGCGTTTACAAATGGCAGTAAAGATACTGGGATTTTTTATTTTTACTAGTAATGGCGGCGATCAGCGATTTATAGCAGAACTGCGGCAGACATCCTGGGGAGGACTGGGTGTCACTGACATCCCCAGTGACACCAATACTGTGATCAGTGCTAAAAATAAAAAGCACTGACACTGTACTAATGGCACTGGACAGGAAGGGGTTAACATGAGGGGCGATCAAACGGTTAACTGTGTGCAGGGAGTGTTTTACTAGGGGGCGGTGTCAGTGTGCTTCACTGTAATCACACTGCTCTGGATGGCAGAGCAGTGTGCTTGAGCTGGCAAAGAGGAGAACTGTTAGTAAACAAAACAGTTCTCCCTGTCGGAGTTCGTCAGAAATCACTTGGCACCGGCGAGTAATTACCGGCCAGGACCCGGTGAATGACAGCCATGGCCGCAAATGGCAGTGTGGGTAGGACCCGTGTGCGGCTCACGCTTGCCCCTACCCAGAAATACAAAATCACGTGTGTGTATGTATATTTATGTGTGTGTGTGTGTATATATATATATATATATATATATATATATATATATATATATTATATTTATGATATGATTTTGAACACCTGTGCCACCCTGTATCAGTATTTCTGCTATAGAGTGGTCGGGATGCGGTTAAAGTGAGCTTGTTACAATCCTGGGCATTACAGCTGACCTTACAATAAAAATCTGAATAAACACAGGAAAACCACATGCCAGTGAAAAATACATGTCAGAACAACCAGAAGATCCCATAATTTAGACAGCAAATTTTCTATCTGAATCTTGACATTTCCTGTTAAAAACATGCTTCCCCCCCCCCCCCCCCACAGACCCACTTTACTGGTAATTAAGTCCACCCATCACATTAAAGCAGAACTAAATCCTCCTATCCTTCACAGCTAAGGAAGCTGCAATCTTAAGCTGGCCATATATTATACAATTTTCTTAGTTGATTTCCTGTAGATTAAATTGGTGGTTTAGGTTCTGCTTTAAGGGCTCTGTATTGTTTTGACTTGAAGTAATCACTTCTGCATTGTGACAAATTTACTTTTAAAGTTGCTGTAAACCTGTGAAGCAAAAATGAACAAAACATATCCTTCTGTATTGTGTACTTTCCTCACTCCAAAGCACCTAGTGTGCTTTCTGTCCTCCCCTTGGTCTGCTATCTGCATGAGTCACTTATGTTGACATCAAGCAATGCTGGGGAATGTCCTCCACCCCCCCCCCCCTCCCCAAGGCGCACAGCAGCTGATTGACATCCTCAGCTGAGCATGTTTCCCTATGAGACTGTGTAGAGGAGGGTGTGTCCATTCCTCAGATTACACTCTGCTCCGTGCTCTATTCCGTGCATTGTGTGACATAAGATCACTGCCTCATGGAGCTAAGAAATGCGAAGGGAAGAGAGGTCTGAAGATAAACAGGGACAACTTATATACAACCCTTTTTTTTTTTTATCTACACAATTAAACAATTGAATGAACATTTTCCAAGAGTGGTGATTCCATACTTTTTGCCAGGGGTTGTGCAAGGATGTTTCATCTCTGTGTATCACCTCAGGCCAGTCTGTTCACTGGGTATATGTGATGGCTTACAACCATTTTAACCACTTGGTAACCAAGCTATAGTCGAATGACGGCTATAGTGTGGATACCCAGTTCTGGGAGAGCATCATATGACGCTGTCACAGCGTGAGGAAAGTACTGCCGATAACTGGCAACTGTCAGAGGAGATCGGCACTGATCATCAGGGCACTCATGATCAGTGCCCAGCAGTGCTGCCTATCAGTGCCATCAGTCAGTGCTGCATCATCATTGCCTCCTCATCAATGCCCATCAGTGCAGCCTATCAGTGCTGCCTATCCGTGCCACCTTGTCAGTACCCATCAGTGCTGCCTCTCAGTGCAGCCTCATCAACGCACATCAGTGAAGGAGAAAAATTACCTGTTTGCATAATTTTATAATAGAAAAAAAGAAAAACTTGGGTTTTTTTCTTTCAAATTTTTTTTGATTTTTTTTGTTTATAGCACAAAAAATAAAAAACCCAGTGGCAATTAAATACCACCAAAAGAAAGCTGTATCTGAAAAAAAAATGATAAAAATTTCATATGGGTACGATGTTGCATGACCGCGCAATTGTCATTCAAAGAGCGACAGCGCTGAAAGCTGAAAATTGGCCCGGGCATGAAGGGGGTATAAGTGCCCGGTAGGCAAGTGGTTAAAGGCAACCTGTATTGGGAAGTATGGTATTTTCATTGTTGACTGTTTTTTCTGTACTTCAAAAAAATTTGTTTCCTGACTGTCATGCTGAACCATGTATTTTTGTGTCTCATACCTGAAACAGTGTGCTTTAGTGAAATATTTAATGGAAAAGGTGGTATTGTGTATATTTTTTTCTTTCTCATTTCAGTTGTCAGCTGGCCTTACACCAGTCAACCCAGCATGACAAGAAGTTTTACCAGTGCAGTCAGTGTGGTAAAGAACTGAGTACACTGAAAAAGCTGCATGATCACATTGCATACCATTCCGAAGCTAGGCCTCACAAGTGCCATCTGTGTGACAAAGCCTATAAAGTGAAAAGTATGTATACGAAACACTGATTCCTGAACTTGTTTTTATGTTGTAATCCAATGTTTTTTCTGCAGAGTGCACATTGTACAGATGTTGCTGCTAACTACAGTTAGGCTTTTATTGGTTAGGAAATCGTAGAATAGTAGTGGTTACCATTACTTCTGGACAACTGCTGTCTATGCTTTGTTCTAATACTGAGGTCTATACAGTATGTGGATTTTGTGTGTTCTCTGGACTGGTTTCTTCCTAAAGATAAAAAAACATTCTGGGGCTCTTCAGCACCAAACATGTCAGAGGTGACGCCTGCTGCTATTAAATAAACAAAGAAAGTAAGAAACAAAGAAAGTCGATGCAGCCTACTGACTTGCAGGATTGGAACTAGTCAAACCAACGGCTGGGAATTGATGAGCTTTCACATCATTGTATTGTGGTGTGCTGCAGGTATGATTTGTAAACTGTTGTGGTGCATTGGGTAGCTCACTTAAGGGATTGGTCTGTTCTAATACAACACATGTTAATGGGTGTGGTTTAAACACAGTTGATCACCCTGGTGTGCATGGGCCCCTGAGTGATATACTGGTCTACATATACAGTATACTGATAGATACCTAATTCTAATACATAATGCAAATAAATAAAGATAGAATGAGTACTAGGGCCACATTTTTCCCATGTTCATATACAGAAACATTTTAAAGTAAGAAATATAAATAATGTTAAAAACTGTGCACCAACACTCACCTCCTAACAATAGAAAATGTTGTTCAATGTAAAGCAGCACTGTCCCTTATACACAATCTGTCAAATATTTAAATCTAATGTAGACAAGCTTTAGGGAACATTCACGCATATGCGTCTCTATTGTTTTAGGAAGTGGTTTGATGTGGAGGAATGCAAGTAGCCTGCACAGTGCCCAACCTTTATTGAACACGTTTGTGATGAATTGAAACACTGGTTGTAATCCAAGTGATCTTATCCAGTATTAGTAAGGCTACGTTCACACTAGCCTTGTGTGCAGGCAGCAGAGAGGCGTTTGGGAAGCGTTTTTTACCGCTTCCCAAACGCCTCTGCCAACTCCTGCACATTACAGCACATGGTGCTGTTCTAACAGGAGCGTTTGCGTCGCGTCGCGTCGCGTTGCGGCAAAACGGACGCCTCTGGTCGAGTCAGGAGGCTTTGAAGCCTCCTATTCTCGTCTGTGGTGCCGCTCCGCAAACGCCCGGCCGGCATTTGCGGTGCGGTTGCGACGCGGTTGCGGGGCGTTTGCGGAGCGGTAACACCACTCAAATGCATTATAGGCATTTGTGGGGCGTTATTAACGCTCGGCAAACGCCTAGCAACCGCCGCTAAACCGCGCATGCGGCGTTTGCGGAGCGTTTGCCGAGCGTTAAAAACGCTCCGCAAACACCGGACCAACGCTTGCCAAACGCTATAGGGGCGTTTGGCAAGCGTTGGCAAAACAGCCTAGTGTGAACGAGCCCTAACGGACCCCACAAATGCTCTTCTGACTGAAGGGGTGTAATAGATCAGGGGTTAAAATTTAGAGTCCAGACCTACTAGCCAGTCACAAAACTTACTCTCCACCAGTTGCCCCACCCAACCTTATCCAGGTCCGCCCCCAACCACGCCCCCTTAAAGCTTATGAAATTAAATTTTTCTTTAGAATAAAGAGTCCAAAATATAAAACTGTACACAGTAATGTATATCCCAGCTCCCCTGTACTCCATTATAGTGATATGACATGTGTACAGTAATGTATATTCCAGCTCCCCTGTACTCCATTATAGTGATATGACATGTATACAGTAATGTATATCCCAGCTCCCCTGTACTCCATTATAGTGATATGACGTGTATACAGTAATGTATATCCCAGCTCCCCTGTACTCCATTATAGTGATATGACATGTATACAGTAATGTATATCCCAGCTCCCCTGTACTCCATTATAGTGATATGACGTGTATACAGTAATGTATATCCCAGCTCCCCTGTACTCCATTATAGTGATATGACGTGTATACAGTAATGTATATCCCAGCTCCCCTGTACTCCATTATACTGATGACATGTATACAGTAATGTATATCCCAGCTCCCCTGTACTCCATTATAGTGATATGACGTGTATACAGTAATGTATATCCCAGCTCCCCTGTACTCCATTATACTGATGACATGTATACAGTAATGTATATCCCAGCTCCCCTGTACTCCATTATAGTGATGACATGTATACAGTAATGTATATCCCAGCTCCCCTGTACTCCATTATAGTGATATGACATGTATACAGTAATGTATATCCCAGCTCCCCTGTACTCCATTATAGTGATATGACATGTATACAGTAATGTATATCCCAGCTCCCCTGTACTCCATTATAGTGATATGACATGTATACAGTAATGTATATCCCAGCTCCCCTGTACTCCATTATAGTGATATGACATGTGTATAGTAATGTATATCCCAGCTCCCCTGTACTCCATTATAGTGATATGACATGTGTACAGTAATGTATATCCCAGCTCCCCTGTACTCCATTCTAGTGATATGACATGTATACAGTAATGTATATCCCAGCTCCCCTGTACTCCATTATACCGATATGACATGTATACATTATGTATATCCCAGCTCCCCTGTACTCCATTATAGTGATATGACATGTATACAGTAATGTATATCCCAGCTCCCCTGTACTCCATTATACCGATATGACATGTATACAGTAATGTATATCCCCCCTCCCCTGTACTCCATTATAGTGATATGACATGTATACAGTAATGTATATCCCAGCTCCCCTGTACTCCATTATAGTGATATGACATGTATACAGTATGTATATCCCAGCTCCCCTGTACTCCATTATAGTGATGACATGTATACAGTAATGTATATCCCAGCTCCCCTGTACTCCATTATAGTGATATGACATGTATACAGTAATGTATATCCCAGCTCCCCTGTACTCCATTATAGTGATATGACATGTGTACAGTAATGTATATCCCAGCTCCCCTGTACTCCATTATAGTGATATGACATGTGTACAGTAATGTATATTCCAGCTCCCCTGTACTCCATTATAGTGATATGACATGTATACAGTAATGTATATCCCAGCTCCCCTGTACTCCATTATAGTGATATGACGTGTATACAGTAATGTATATCCCAGCTCCCCTGTACTCCATTATAGTGATATGACATGTATACAGTAATGTATATCCCAGCTCCCCTGTACTCCATTATAGTGATATGACGTGTATACAGTAATGTATATCCCAGCTCCCCTGTACTCCATTATAGTGATATGACATGTATACAGTAATGTATATCCCAGCTCCCCTGTACTCCATTATACTGATGACATGTATACAGTAATGTATATCCCAGCTCCCCTGTACTCCATTATAGTGATATGACCTGTATACAGTAATGTATATCCCCCCTCCCCTGTACTCCATTATAGTTATATGACATGTATACAGTAATGTATATCCCAGCTCCCCTGTACTCCATTATAGTGATATGACGTGTATACAGTAATTTATATCCCACCTCCCCTGTACTCCATTATAGTGATATGACATGTATACAGTAATGTATATCCCAGCTCCCCTGTACTCCATTATAGTGATATGACCTGTATACAGTATGTATATCCCAGCTCCCCTGTACTCTAGCGATATGGCATGTATACAGTAATGTATATCCCAGCTCCCCTGTACCCCATTATAGTGATATGACATGTATACAGTAATGTATATCCCAGCTCCCCTGTACTCCATTATAGTGATATGACATGTACACAGTAATGTATATCCCAGCTCCCCTGTACTCCATTATAGTGATATGACATGTATACAGTAATGTATATCCCAGCTTCCCTGTACTCCATTATAGTGATTACATGTATACAGTAATGTATATCCCAGCTCCCCTGTACTCCATTATAGTGATATGACATGTATACAGTAATGTATATCCCAGCTCCCCTGTACTCCATTATAGTGATATGACATGTATACAGTAATGTATATCCCAGCTCCCCTGTACTCCATTATAGTGATATGACATGTATACAGTAATGTATATCCCAGCTCCCCTGTACTCCATTATAGTGATATGACATGTATACAGTAATGTATATCCCAGCTCCCCTGTACTCCATTATAGTGATATGACATGTATACAGTAATGTATATCCCAGCTCCCCTGTACTCCATTATAGTGATATGACATGTGTATAGTAATGTATATCCCAGCTCCCCTGTACTCCATTATAGTGATATGACATGTGTACAGTAATGTATATCCCAGCTCCCCTGTACTCCATTCTAGTGATATGACATGTATACAGTAATGTATATCCCAGCTCCCCTGTACTCCATTATACCGATATGACATGTATACATTTATGTATATCCCAGCTCCCCTGTACTCCATTATAGCGATATGACATGTATACAGTAATGTATATCCCCTCCCCTGTACTCCATTATAGTGATATGACATGTATACAGTAATGTATATCCCAGCTCCCCTGTACTCCATTATACCGATATGACATGTATACAGTAATGTATATCCCCCCTCCCCTGTACTCCATTATAGTGATATGACATGTATACAGTAATGTATATCCCAGCTCCCCTGTACTCCATTATAGTGATATGACATGTATACAGTATGTATATCCCAGCTCCCCTGTACTCCATTATAGTGATATGACATGTATACAGTAATGTATATCCCAGCTCCCCTGTACTCCATTATAGTGATATGACATGTATACAGTAATGTATATCCCAGCTCCCCTGTACTCCATTATAGTGATGACATGTATACAGTAATGTATATCCCAGCTCCCCTGTACTCCATTATAGTGATATGACATGTATACAGTAATGTATATCCCAGCTCCCCTGTACTCCATTATAGTGATATGACATGTGTACAGTAATGTATATCCCAGCTCCCCTGTACTCCATTATAGTG